CTGACAAATGATGGCTGGATTTTCACATGTTGTGCGTTTGAGAATATTTTATCTATGTTCAGTAAAATGTATGAAAAACTGGTAAGGAGAATTTACTGTGCAAGCTCTTATTTTGGTAACACTTTACAACAAGGCTGCCCTTATAGATGGCTTATAAAGAGTTTAAAGATAGGTTATTAATTCATCTGTAAACACTTTATAAATAATTAATAAATGTTTTTATGCAATAATTAAGGACAAGAAAGAGAAAAAACTGTCTATTTTCTTACCAAATAACGAGACAAATTTGTTCACGTACATATTACATCTAAAGGTGCTTATTAAACATTTCGGACTAGGTTACTACATTGTAAGTACAATAATAAGAAGAAACACATATTTTAACATATTAATATTGTTCTGTATTACTGCATTAGAAATATTCACAACTGCCAAAGGGAGACTTATCGTAAAGTGTAATACAGTACACTATTAATGATAAACATTTATAAATGCCAAAAGTTAGTCTTTAATGTGAAAAATCACATTGATTATCAATATTTGAAATTATTATTCAAACATGTCACTACTGTCAAAAAAAGTTTAAAAAATACATCATGTTAACACACCAAATAATCCCACCCAATCCAAAATAATGTACAGTTTTACACTTTACAATAAGGATCCCTTTAATATTTGTGGATATTTATAATGCAGTAATACAGTACAATATTATACATTAAAATATGTCTTTCCTAATCATTATTGTGCTCACAAGGTAGTAAACTAATCTGAAATGTTTAATACACAAACAGATTTGGCTCAGTATTTGGAAAGAAACCAGACATTTAAGTCTCTTTTTTGACCTTAATTAATGCACAATAAACACTTATTGATAAGTGTTTACAGATGAATTAATAACCTATCTATAAACTCTTTAAAAGCCATCTATAAGGGGAACCTTATTGTAAAGTGGTACCTTTAAAAAAAATTACATTACAAGTGTTAAAACATGTGACTGGTAAAATGTAAACACCATACCATAACCAGTGCTTTGAGTGCTAGGATGTTAAATACTTGGCCCCTCTATGAATATTGGGGCCCCTTGATGGCCCCTTACTCAAAAAAATCCTAGATCAGCCACTGCCCTGCAGGCTTCACAGAACCAGAACCTCTTCCTTCCATCAGTTGCTAAAACCCAGGTCAGTGACCTGTCCATGGGAAACCTGGACAGGTCCCTAATAAGAGATCATGTAGCATCCACAGAGAGGCTTCAGGCCGTCTAACCACTGCTCCACCATGTCGCTGCTGCCAGAAAACAACTCATTAAAACACTTTTTGTTCAGACAACAAGCAACAGTAACTGTTGTCTGAAAGTTCAGCTGGGATCAGTTAGTGGATCAGAACCTAAACACTTTGAGACCTTCAGTTTCACACAGACAAACCTCTGAACGGTTTTTATTTACAGCTTCTCCTGCAGCCAAGCAGCTGCTGGTGTCTGACGAGACCGAGAGGACCATGAGGGTCACCTGGACCCCAGCTCCAGGAAACGTGCTCAACTACCGGCTGAAGTACGTCCCCGCAGCCGGAGGCAGAGAGATGGTCCTGAAGGTCCCCGGGTCCGTGTCCTCCACCGTCCTGAAGCGCCTGCAGCCCGTCACCACCTACAGCCTCACGCTCCAACCCATCTACAAACACGGGGAAGGAAAAGCAAGGCAAGGAGTAGGAACCACACGTACGTTGGTCCGTCCTTCACCTGTCTGAGGCTTGTCCCCTTCAACTGTCTGAGAGACATGGCCCCCTTCACCTCTCCGAGACACGTCCCCTTTCACATGTTATCAGTACACTGCAGAGACATGTCCACCTTCTGTCTGTCCTCACACTTCAGAGACACGCCCCCYTTCTGTCTGTCCTCACACTTCAGAGACACTGGACTAAATGAATCTGATGTTTGATCCTTTGGACTTCAGAATAAAGAAGTGGAGCTTCTCGGAGCGAGTTTGTCCTGACGTTCTGCTGCTTTTTTCTTTCAGTGTCGCCTTACAAAGCTCCCAGGAACCTGCAGACCTCAGAGCCCACCAAGACCAGCTTTAGGGTCTCCTGGGACCCTGCACCTGGAGATGTTAGGGGCTACAGAGTGACCTTTCACCCCACAGAGGATGATGTGGACCTGGGGGTGCTCCTGTTGGGTCCATATGATAACACTGTGGTTCTGGAGGAGCTCAGGTAAAAAGCAACAAAAAGTTCAGAAAGTTTGAAATAAAAATAGCTCACAGGTTGTTTTCAGTCTGAAAGAAACCATCTCTGAGGAACGGAATTGTCCAAAGGGTCCACTTCACTGGGTCCACAGACCTAGTGAAGGCAGATCTCCTGTTTAGCTGCTTATAGAGTTTTCAGAATCAAAAAGTAGAATCTATTTAAGACTGCTTAGATCTCCCTGAGTCCAGTAACAGAGACTGAACCGGTCTCCTGCTCTGGACAGATGGACAATGGATATTATTTTGTTGTCCACCAGCCACCCACATTGTAGATTTAGAACCACAGAGAATGCTAGGAGACAAGTTAGAATGTCTCTCATGAACCGTTTGACTACTAGTGTCCATTTAACTAGTCTCAGCTAGTCTCCAACTAGCCTCCAACAAGTCTCCAAAACCTAATTTCAGCTAGTCTCCAACTAGCCTCCTACAAGTCTCCAAAACCTAATTTCAGCTTGTCTCCAACAAGTCTCCAAAACCTAATCTCAGTTAATCTGCAACTAGTCTGCAACTAGTCTCCAACTAGTCTCCAAAACCTAATCTCAGCTAGTCTCCAACTAGCCTCCAACAAGTCTCCAAAACCTAATCTCAGCTAGTCTCCAACTAGTCTCCAACAAGTCTCCAAAACCTAATCTCAGCTAGTCTCCAACTAGTCTCCAACAAGTCTCCAAAACCTAATCTCAGCTAGTCTCCAACAAGTCTCCAAAACCTAATCTCAGCTAGTCTGCAACTAGTCTGCATCTAGTCTGCAACTAGTCTCCAACAAGTCTCCAATTACCTAGTCTCAGCTAGTCGCCAACTGGCCTCCAACAAGTCCCCAAAACCCAATCTCAGCAAGTCTCCAACAAGTCTCTAAAACCCATTCTCAGCTAGTCTCCAACAAGTCTCCAAAACCTAATCTCAGCTAGTTTGCAACTAGTTTCCAACTAGTCTCCAAAAATTTCCAATTACCTAATCTCAGTTAATCTGCAGCTAGTTTGCAACTAGTTTCCAANGTTTGCAACTAGTTTCCAACTAGTCTCCAAAAATTTCCAATTACCTAATCTCAGTTAATCTGCAGCTAGTTTGCAACTAGTTTCCAACTAGTCTCAAACAAGTCTCCAATTACCTAGTCTCAGCTAGTCTCCAACTAGCCTCCAACAAGTCTCCAAAACCTAATCTCAGCTAGTCTGCATCTAGTCTCCAACAAGTCTCAGAGGTTTTACATCTTAATTTAACAGTTTTTGTGTTTTAACCCTTTTTCTCCTGAACAATCTTCAAACTTCAGGGATCTGATTCAGGAGATGAAGTTGAAGAACTTTGTGTTAGCTGCTGTCTTGAAGCTCCAGCTTCTTCTTCTCTGTGTGTCTCATGCTGGGTTCTGTTTTGTCTACAGGGCAGGAACTAAATATTCTGTGTCTGTGTTTGGGATGTTTGATGGAGGAGCCAGTTCTCCTCTTGCAGGAGAGGAAAAGACCACCCTGACTGAGGATCCAGAACCTCCTGCTATGGATCCTCCTGGTAAAACTTCCATCTCATCACACAGTGCTGCTGTTTGTTAGTGGACTAGGTCTGCAGACCAGAAACTTCCTGACCCAGATCATTAGAGTTCTGCCAGAACACAGAGCTATCTGAGTTAGCTGCTTGAGTTTTTTCAAGTCTGATCATTTAACACTGAACATAATTTGTTTCAGAGATTTAAACACATGTTCTAACTCAACAATCAGAACCGATCCAAATGAGCCCCTCTTCTGGACCAAGGGCTTCAGAGAGCAGAGATCCAGACCTTTAAGGGTTTTGGCTCTAACATCTCCAGAGGTTCCAGCTGAGCACCGTGTCTGCTTGCCAAATGTTTCTTCAGTCATGAAAAATGAGAGATATCCAGAAAAATGTTGCTTGAAGTTTGAAAAGAGGTGGTTTGTAGTTAAAGCAGTCGGCTGCTGCAGGGATGGAGTTTAGAAAGAGTTCTGCTCTGAAAGTCTGAAGAGGTGCTGTTGATCCAGAACAGGACTTCCTGGTGGACTAAGAAGCAGACACAGTGACCAACTGCCAAATGGGTCGAGGAGTGGGTCAAAACATGTCAGGGAGTATGTCAGGGAACAGTCACAGTGACTGGGTCAGGGAACAGACACAGTGACCAGCTGTTAAATGGGTCAGGGAACAGTCACAGTGACTGGGTCAGGGAANGGTCAGGGAACAGACACAGTGACCAGCTGTTAAATGGGTCAGGGAACAGTCACAGTGACTGGGTCAGGGAACAGACACAGTGACCAGCTGTTAAACGGGTCAGGGAACAGACACAGTGACTGGCTGTT